TCATCTATTTTAGTTTTACATAAATTAGATTATAAGCGGCATATTGGAAATTTGGAAATATATTGTAAATACTTAATAGTGATGTCTATTCTCACAACAGCTTGATTAATAGTAGGTATGACAACAGATGAGGAAAATGACACTTAGATGGTTAAGTAGCTTTCTTTGCTAATCCATTTAGATTTACCTAAAATATTGTTAGTTTTATTTCTGGTACCCATGCTGTACATTAATGAGAATGTGCTTAAAAAATATGTTGTTTATTTCAGAGTGGTAGCAGAGATTATTTGATGTTGTTTTTCTATCTTAATTAAAAACTTCTGCTAGAAAATTATTCTCTTCTTTAAGAAAATTGAGTAAATATTCCTTAGTGAAACATATAGTACTTTTTCATTAATAATTAAGTTGTTGGTCATGCAGTGGCTCACACCTGTAATCCTAGCACTGTGGGAGGCCAAGGTAGGAGGATTGTTTGAGCTCAAGAGTTTGAGACCACACTGAGCAAGAGTGAGACCCCCATCTCCACTAAAAATAGAAAAATTATCTGGCATAATGGTGCACATAATAGTCCCAGCTACTTGGAGGCTGAGGCAGGAGGGTCGCTTGAGCCCAGGAGTTTGAGGTTGCAGTGAGCTGTGATGATGCCACTGCACTCTAGCTGGGGCAACCTAGGGAGACTCTGTCTCACCAAAAAAAAAAAAAAATTGTTGGGTAAATTATACCCATTATCACAAAGTACAAAAGACCTAAGACAGTATTCATATCTGTACTAGAATTTCAGAGATGCTAAAATGTGAGAAACATGTATATCTTAGAATCAATAAAATACAGTACATACATTGATCTGCAAGATGTAGAGAGGGTGAGGAAAGCAAGGTATAGAACAGTAAGATCCTGTACCTGTAAAAGGAAGCAATATGCTGGGAGAACTTTGGAAATCCCTGCTCTGGCAGATCAGGGGTTGACCATTTTCTAGTGTTAGTTCCCCTTCATCTGAAAAATGAAGGGCTCAGCAAACAGCTAATTTGGTCTTCCCAGAGCAGGGCATCAGAAGGCCTGGCCTTTTCATTCCCCCATGATTCATCTGCGATTAGGGAAGCACACAAAATCCTAGGATGTTCTTGCCCTGATTTTTATATCTTCTCTCTCTCCTGAGAAATGTTTGCCCTTTTATACTATTATCAAGAGAGACTAGAGGAAGCCTGCTTCTCAGCATTCCAGTGTGAAGGGACAAGTTATAAGTAGATGTCACCATTGTCACTCATCTGGGCTCTAAAAAAGGGAGGCAGGCTATCCTGCCCCATTGGGGTATGACTTGTGCTTCCATGAGCCTAAGTTTTCACATTCATAATATAGATGTCATTAGAGGTCACACTGCTTAACAGCTGGAGGGACATGAGCACCGTTGGAATAGATGTCTCCTGCTGTTGCCAGGGTCAACCTTTTAGTTGCTGAATTGTGGGGAGGTCTGGAGAGATAGAGAGAGGTGGTTGGGGTAGTGCGTGGGGCATTGTGGTGTTAGGGGAGTGGCTATTTTCCAGCTAATACAGCAGTATTTTATGTTGGTATGTACTAGCTAAATATCAGCTCTGGGTACAATAATACCTTCCTCATATGGGTGTTATGAATATTAAGTTAAGTGAGATAACATATAGCATATAGATTCTCAAATTCTAAATCATTACTGCTACTGCCACACGGCCTTGAAACAGGAAGTTTTACATTAGTAATTCTGTTACACATTTTATACTCTTGTTCATTGCTTAAATTCAGCATTCAGAAACAAACCGTCAATGAGCAACACAGTGAGTGTATTACAAATTAGGAGCCCTCCTGGCCAGGGTTGTCCTCTCTGCTGAAAGTGGGATGTCTGGAACTCTTCTTTCCATTCCCTTTCCTACTGCTCTGGCTGATGTAGGGAATGACATTGACATTTCCATGGTGAACTTGCATTCCATTTGTTTTCTTTGGCCCCTTAGCAGAAATACCGAATTATTAATAGTTTCTCCATAGAAAGTGTTATCATTTAATGATTGTCTGTGTTAACTTTTTTCTCTTGAATTATCAGATTTATATTCTGCAGTTAAAACTTTACTGCAAGAAAATGACTTACAAGATGCAAAAACATCACAGTTTATTGCATTTAGAAGGTAAAGTGGTTACAATATTTTAACACTTTTAATCTAGCTTTTACTCTCATACTTTACTAACGTTTGGGTTCTGTTTGGATGGGAGACTCTCTTATTTCATCACCGTTAACTCTCTTTCTTATTTTGGGATATTTTTTTGTTAGACATGGCAGAGGGTACTTTCTAAATAGGGCTTTTCCTACCAAATATTATCTTTAGAAAACTCATAGGAAATCTGAATGGAACAAAAGTTTATGTTAAGATAAAAATTATAAAAATACTTTTTCCTGGAGAAAGTTCTGGAAACTTTTTAGAGAATCTGGTATGTCATAATTGTTGGTAAGATAAATAAGCACATAACAGACAC